ATATATATATATGTGTGTGAATATGTATATATATATATACATATATATGTAAGTCTGTCTGCACAAACATGTGTGCCTGTGCACATGTGTTTTTACATTATGCAGTATGCACATATATACATATATATATATATACATATATATATATAAGCATGTATGTGTATATAAGAATGTTTATGCATTTATGTCTTCTACATGATTTTTCATGTTTAGACATGCGTTTACAGGTTTATTTGTGTCGGCGTATGTTTACATAAGTAAGAGTATCTGTTTGCATACACTGATAAAGCGTCGTTATATGTTTCGAGGTGAGTGCATATACTTCTACACATGAAAAGATGTACGTATATACGTCGTCGGACCAGTATCGCTACAGACCTTGGCAGGCTTGTCCGAACGTGAGTGTCAAAAGTTATACATGTGTATGTTTATGTATGTATGTATGTATGTATGTATGCAGGTATGTATCTATATGTATGTATGAGTTCGTATATGCCCCCTGTACGTCTACATATACGTACATACAGATACACTTAAATACACCCGTACGCTTATGTTTATATGTGATTGCATCTGTTTAACATATTCGTATCATATACGCATTTCAATACAAGTTTATACATGTTTACATAGGCTGATACGCACTTGTGGTTGTTTACATGTATGCTTGTATGTGTCTGTATTATGCGTATATAATATAATATTTTGCCATATGTTCATAAGCGTTTATGTTTGTACACGTTTATGTATGTTTATACACCCTTAGATGTGTTTTATTTGTTTACATACGTTTATATGTGTTTGCGTGCGCATTTATAGGCTTCTGATGGCTTCTGCATGCTCACATGCTCTTGTATGTGTTATGTGTGTTTATTCATGTATGTATGTATGTATGTATGTATGTATGTATATATGTATGTACGTATGTACGTATGTATATGTGTGTATATATATATGTGTGTGTATATATAGGTATACATGCGTATATGTATGTATGTATGTATGTATGTACGTATGTATGTACGTATGTATGTATGTATGTATGTGTTTAAAGGGGTTTGCACATGCTTCTGTGTTTATATATATATACATATAATATACATAGATAGATTGATCGATAGATGGATAGATACTTAGACACACATATTACTACATATGTGTGTCTATACACTTTTTTTGCTTTCATACATGTCTGTACATGTTTCATGTTTTTTTTACTTGGTTGTATATGTGTACATATGTAAACATGCCAACCAGCAGTGGTCTGGCAGGCAGCTTGGTGTCTTGCTTGCTCGTAGCTGCTTGTGCGAAGGTTCATATGCTGCTATGCTGGTAGTACATCGAGTAAAACATTCTACATTCCTGGACCAACGTGTTAGCAGGGTAGGGCCGGAACATAGGAGCGTGTATACAGATGCCGTAGGGCCGTAGGGCCCAGGAGCCCGTAGGTCCCTCTAGAGGACTGTTCCCCTCGCCAGTGCCAGCTCGATGTTAAGCGCGAGTCAGGTGAAGGCAGGGGGCAGCGCAGTACCCTCCGGTTCTGGATTCAGCCCTGCATCGGTGTGTCCGGTTGTGTTGGAGGCTGGTCAGCCTGTCAGCCTGTCCGAGAACTTCTGCAAGCAGGTGTGTGGCTTTTCGGTTGTTGTTGTGGGGGTGCATCTGTCAAGGCCATGACCCGCTTTCCTCGCGATGCCGGCGTACAACGAGTCGCATGCAGTGTACTGAGAGGCCACGGCCTGAGCAGACGAGCGAGCTGATTGCGACGTGGCATCCATGGCAGGCATCGTCGTGACTGACGGCGGCTGCACAGTAGTGGCGGATGCTGGCGGAGCTGCGCGTGCAGTAGATGCCATGAAAGCCCACCTGGTCGACCCGGAGGTGTGCCGCATGGGTGCAGCAGTTCTCTACGCCGCTGGGCTGAGGGGAGACCGCTTCCTTGAACTTGGCCAGTGCGGCCTCGAACACGTTGCCGTTCCTGACCTTTCACCCACGAGGCAATGGTCCAGAAAACGGATCCGGCTTCCCCCGAAAGGCTGATGATGCGCACCACGAAGGCCCACCAGGTACTTGCCGAGGCGCTCCAGCTGACGACTGCGACGGAACCGTGCTTTGTTTTGCAGCGCCACTGAGTTGCTAACCCTACAAAACACCGTGTGTAAACTCCAGGTTTGCCGTGGTATGATTAACCTGGCATGTTTCGACTGGTTTCCTTCGCGCACAAGAGTCATGACATTTCTACAGGCTCTGCAGTACCACCCGACCGACCGAGCGCTCGACCGAGCATGTCGCGTGACCATGCCAGAGTTGAAAGGCTGATGAGGCGAAGAAAAGAACAGCGACATGATTCGATGCATGCATTCCAGAGTTTTGCTTCGTCGCTGACGGCTGAATATCCGTCCGGGGTCTGTTCCAACCAGTTGCTTCCTCAGCAGTCAGCTTGCCGTCAGGAGCATGTCAAAGTCGATGCCAACGGACAGTCCTCACGCAGGCCTACTGCAGCCGCTCTGCTGAAGTTATCTGTTTGTTAGGTGAATGCTTGCCTGCCTATCTATGACAGGTGTAGTCTTGCAGCTAGGATGGCCGGTCATGATGTTGTTGCCAATTCCTTAGCTCTTCTTGCTCTGTGGCAGCTCAGATCACCTGCTACTTCGGAAGCCGTCAGCTTAGCAGTACCTGTCTTGCTTCTCGATGCGTTCCAACGCTTCCCTAGAGATGGATTCATGGAATTTGTCCAGGTTGGGCCCTGGAAGATGGAACCCGGACCTTCGTGACCGAGGTTGTTTCCTCGGAATTGTCTGATGATGACGCTTCTGCAAACTTCCCCGGCGTGTAGTGAATTTAGGGCGTTTGATCTTACATTCGCATGACTTACCTATCTGAAGCATGCTTCTTCACAGCTGGAGCACCATTGAAGGAGCTAGAAAAAAGCCTAGAGAAATCCTACAGAGTTCCTGCAACGAAAGTCCATTGAGCTCAAGAAATCCTTTGCTGATAATCTGATAATCCAGCAAGCTACAGATTTTCCTGAATGTCCAGTCGAGAGTCTTGTTTTACAACCAGTGGCTGTTTTGAAAGGGCCTGCAGGCTTTAGCGTTCTTAAGCGTTTTGTTAGCTTGCTTAAATTGTTTTTTGGGAATGCCGTTTCTCGGGCCCAGCCGAAAACTGGTAAACATTTAGCTTTTTTTGGCTTTCTGTCGCTTTTTCAGCTTTCTTAGTTTTTGTTTAGCTTTCTGTAGTTTGTGTTAGCTTTCTTTAGCTTTTCAGCTTTTTATGAGTTTCCTTGGCTTTTGTTGGCTGTTGGTGGAGTCCACGATTTTCCAAGGGGAAATCACAAAACTCCTTGAGGAATCCTGAACAAATCCTACGATGACGGGCCAAGCGGGGAAGGGGGACGGGGGGGGAGGGGTAGGGGAGGGGCGCTGGAGTGAGAAATGGGGGGACGGGATTTGATGACCGCCCGAAGCCTTCAACCCTTTACCAAAACCCTAAGCCCTGCATCCTGAACCGGGAACCCCCGCTTAAACCACAGTTTCAGTCACAACATCATTGTGGGAAATAGTTAGCTTCTGCTAGCTTTTCTTACTTAGCTTTCGTTAGCTTGTCTTAGCTTCCATGTTTTTCCGGTAGTTTTCCTGGAATGCTGAAGAAGTAGTGGGAATGTAGGATTTGATTTCATTTCGACTATGATGGGCTGTGTGCGGCAATGAGGAGAACGGGGTCAAGAAGCGGCGGGCTTGCGACACGAACAGTGAGCAGCCGTGGAAGCGAATCAGATCAAAAGGCTTTGCGGTTGCCCTGCCGGCTGCTCTCATGTCTGATGCACATTTGCAATCGATTGGGGCTGAGGTGTGCGTAGCAGTTGGGGCTTAGGCAACATGCATCAACATGTCCATGAAAGATGTGGGCTTTGGCTCAGGGAACAGGTAGTGCTTTTCAATGACTCTGTGAACTCTGCCGACCTTTGGAACGTTGCAGGTGCCTGGGCTGTTGTGGCTTATCCTTGGGTGATTAATGACTCTGCTTTGAGTATGCATGGGGTGTGCGACTCTTGGTCTTCCAGGTTGCAAGAAGAATGGCAGCGAAGCTGCCGTTGTTGCTGTTGCTCAGCTCGCCGACACAAGGCCCGACTAGTTCACAAGATCTCCTGAGCGTTGCTTGAGCGGATCGTGGGAGCGCCCGGGCCGTGTCGACGATATGCTGGCGTGAGGCGCTGCCCATGCGCCCAGCTGTGCGATCAACGGTGAGCACTACATGGTTGTCCCAAATCATCCTACGTGTTGTGATGTCAGCTGCCCATGTCATGCCTCAGTTACATGACGTCGCATCTGCCAAGGACGAGAAGGTATGGAGTCCGAATGGTGGTCTGCAGGAAGATGCCTCAGGCACATCGGAGCACATTGAACGAAACATTGAAGCAGACTGCCAATCGCAGCATGTGGTAGACGGTAATCGCATCGACTGCTGCATCAGGCTGCCAAAGAGCACCCCGTCTGCAAGTTCGAAGCAGAGCAACGCTGAAGAGGTAGTGATCGAAAGCTCCTTAAGCCCTGGAGTCCAGCAGTGTGGAAGCACGCGGGGCTATCCTTGTTTTCCAAGGCCTGCCTTGCCGACGTCGGATGCAGCTTGTCCGAGTGCAGAGTGCGGATAGTGCGGCTGAGTGCGGTTGTGACGACATTCGTCTAGTCTTGTTCTCTAGTTTCTTTTCCACTTGTCTACTGTAGCCCGGCCGGCCGGCACGCACCCATACTTGTAGAGGCTCCTACTGGACCTTCTACAGCAAGACCTTCACGTCGCTTGGATATGCTTGGATCACTGTTTGAGGATGTGGCGTCCGTGTCATGTTCTACAGCGTCAGAGTATATCGTGTGCAAAGTGGTGGCCCGTAATTGCGAATATTGCGATATAGTTTCCATGAATCACCATGGATGATGAGAGGTTGCCGCAAGGCTGCAGAACTCAGGTGCTGGCTGATGGGGCCTCATGCCACCCTGGGAACCATTCCCGACAGCACCGCGACCAGTGGCCCGAAGAGCTGCGAATCGGTGCAATTAGAGAGCGAGCCATCGCAGCTCAGCCCGCCCAACAAAAACGTGGCCGTTGGAGGTTGTTGAATTTCTGAACACTAGCTGCAGGCAATGCGAAAGAGGTGCCACAAGTGCAGCGCTCTGCCGCGCCCGCGACGGCAATCACTGGAGGCTAGGCTTTCCAAAGGAAAATGTGGCGGCTTTAAGTGATGTGTCATTCGCAAGAACGGGTTGCTGATATAAGATGATCGAATGCAAGCCTTAATTGCAGTTTCTTGCGAGGTCAAAATGCGACGCTGCAAGATGCTCTGCGAGAGATTCAGCACAGTTTCTGGGACAGGAGTATGTCTCAATTAGGGACGACCGGCTTGCGCTGGGTGTGAGTTGAAGGTGGGACACTGGCAATGCAGCGTCTGGATGACCAAGCATCTTGGAGCTGAGTCCGATACAGGTTGCTGCCGGTCGCCGTGGCGGCATTGCTGCGGCTTCGAAGATCCGAGGTAGCGCCGACGGCACCTCTGCGAAGCGCTCTGGAGCGGCTCCAACTGATGACGAGCCCTCAGCAAAGAGCACGGCAGGGAGAGTCAGAGCCCGATGGACTTGACCTTGCAACCTTGCAGGCCTGAATCCACAAGAAGTTTCGAAGGCCACATCGGTGCATGTCGAAGCAGACGACAAACATATAGGCGTTTTCACCATGTCTTTCAGCATAGCACTTATGCCATCCCCTGTAGCCTTACATGCTCGAGGCGCTTCACAGGTTAGAGTTTCTCGGAAAGTGCGTTAGTTGCTCTAGCTTCCCGTTTCTAAACTCATCTATGGTTTCTGCATTCTGGGTTCGCATGAGAGTACGCAGCCAGTGATTCAAGTGTTGGCTCGAGTCGTCGATGAAGTCTGCGCGTTGTTACCCTTCAACTCTGGCACGCCGTGCGCGTTGTCCGGTTAGAATTGAAGCAAACTTCTTTCAAGTGGTGGTTCTCGACTTTGTCTGGAGGCGCATACTTGAGACTTCGAGCTAGGGCTGCTCCGAGGTTTCATGAAGACGTCTGTAGTCAAATGCTGTGGGGGGTCAGGGTTCTCAGGGTTCGATGCCAAGTTGCTCGTCATGATCCCTTTCTGTATAAGGGGGAGACGGCAAGACATCCCCTGTGCTTGACCTCCCGTTGCAAATGCAGGCTTGCCTTGGTTCATTGCAATTACGGCGCTCCTCAGCACTGCGGTCATTGGCACTGCTGTCTGGTTCTGCAGGCGACATTGGACATCACTTCTCTCCTAGTGGCCGTGTGAGTTGCAGGAATCAAGGCGAAGGATCCGATCAGCCCGTCGAGGAAAGCTGGGATGAGGAGCACATTGAGCACACTGCACCGGCTTGCTGCTAAAGCTGCCAATCTTGTGCCTGCAAGCCCTACAGCAGGAGTCCCTAGTGGAACTCCCACGACTTCAGCCACCAGGTCACCCAAATGAGTTCGTACAAGCCAGGTTTAGCATGTCGGAGATGGTTGCACGATTCAGTGCTCGCCCTCAGGGCCGTCTGCCCCGAGACCCAGCGGACCTCGTGTGCATGCCCTGGATTACGTAATGCGTGCTGGGCATGGGCAGCCGATTCTGAGCCTCGGCACATCTTTTTTTTTTTTTTGTGGGATATGGGGGGCTATGCGGCCAAGTAGAGAGAGAACTTTTTGGCGGCTTCAGAAGTGCACCGCCATCTCTCTTGTGACAAGGATGGCAGCGCCTTCTGGCCCCACAAACCAGATCAACGCAAACTTCGTATGAGCTGCAGACCCCTTGCATGAGACAGTGTCTCTAGCATTGATGCGTTAGCAAGTGTCTTGTTTCTCCATGTTACTCCTGTTGGCTTCATGTCACTGATTGCAGTATTTAGGCATTTGGGTTCAAGCGCTGCTCGGTGAACTGATCTGTCTAGGACGGACATGGATCGGGCCAATGTTGCCCACGATCTGCAAAATGGGCCGAAGTGCGTCTGTCTTGAAAACTCTTTGCCGCAACTCCGGGGGTTCGGATACTTGCTTAGCAGCTTAGCAATCTGGGACGTTCAAATTTGCGACTGAGAATGGAAATCAAGCGGCTTCACAGCCATTGGATGGCAAGTGTGCCATGAAAGGCTCAGGGGCAGAAAGCTGGATCACGTTTGCATGACCGCCAGAATCCCGAAGTCTCGTTGCGTGTCACTGTGCAGAGCTGCAGCAGTGGCATGCAGTGGCTAGTGGCTACTGCGACACTCCGACTTGAGTAGATAGTAATGCAAGTCTGTCGAATGAGGCTGAGGTAGCATAAATGACAGCGGAGAGGAAGTGCAAGTGCTGACGCCATGGCAGTGTTTGCTTTGAGCGTGCTGTGAGGCATGTTGTTTAGGCCGGGCTATGTCGCCCGACAAAACGCCTAGGCGCCTTGCTGCCTCGGTTTTGTCTTCGCGAGGCTAGCCGGTGTGGCTTATCTCGCAGCAATCGTCCTATGCTCGGCTTTTCGCTGGGGACCCCGTTGCAAAAGTCATCAGACTAGGTTCTGCCCCTAGATTCTGCATGATTCTGGAGATGTTCCATTTGAGTCGCTCATCCCGGCAGCCACGAAAGTAGAAGGCAGAAAGTTGGAACATCATGACCCTCATGCTTTTAAGATAAAGTATGTGGGATTCTAGCACCAAGCATCCTAAACCCATGTTCCAAATTTCTTGGGCACGCTGTAGGTTGCCCAGGGATTGCCGACTGTCAGGCTGAAACGCAAGAAGAGCCGCATAGAGGCGCGATCCGTCTCGCACAGTCCTATGCTGCTTTTGCGACAAGTGCTCCTGCGTGTAGAGCCAATTGGCATGGTAGTTCTGAGGCCTGTCTGTAGTGGTTCGCTTTCTGACGTGTAGTGGTTCGCTTTCTGACGCCTCCGACCCTGAGTGCCGCGCGGCGCTGCTGCGGATCTCCTGCGCGCGATGGCTGCGTCGGAAAGGGCACAGGCGAGCCGAGCGATTCGCAGAGAGGAGCTGGCTCTGGCACTGCCCAGCGCTGCCTCGAGGCTGAGCTTGTGGAATGTCGCAAGTCGCTCCAGGCCGGCAAACGGCAGCTTGCACTCGGTAGAACTCGACTCGTTATTCGAGGTATGCGAGAGTGCCTCGCCTTCATCTGGAGGCCCCTGCTTGGATTCTGGGCTGGTAGATGCTGAGACTGATGCCGTCGCTCGGTGGCCCCGCCTGCCGCTGCTGTCAGTATCCTGGCAGCAGGCAGCGGGCCCGTTCGCTTGATTTTGTTTTATCAACCGAACCGACGACACCATCTGTTCGATCCTTGCGCCTGTGGCCCCACTCCGAAACGGGTTATTGAGTGGCGGCGGCAAGACGTGGGGATCCTGCAGTGAGTAATGACTGGTCAGTGTGAACGACATTCCATTTGGGACTTGGGGTCGCAGCTCGTGGTGGCCACGGCAGGAGCCATCAGCAAATCCCAGCCCATCAGGCCGACTTCAGTTTAGCCATGTGCAGCCGTTATGTTGCGCTGCACCTGCGAAGCGCCAATCGAGACGTGCTCCTCCCGGGCACAGGTCCTCGCAGCTCCAGCCAGGTTCGCTCGAAGCTCCAGATTGGCCAGAGGAGTGGCTGTCTGCGAGCTTCAAGCCTGACGTTCTGCGCGAATACAGACTTGGATAGACATGGATCTTCCCAAGTTAAGTGCTTCGGCAGCCCTGCCACACTTTTGAAGTGGTCAAGGGCTACGGCACCTTGTTGCGCTTCCCCTTTGGATTTGCCGATATGAAGACGCTGAAGGCCCAAGTCTCAGGGCCCGTGATTCGCCTGTGATGGTTTTACCGTGAGGAGGGCCAGTGTGAGTTGGATGTGAATTCCAGGAAGTGGCTCGAGAGCTCTGGACGTCGGAAGGAACTGCAGCTGACATCGAGGACGAGGCGAAGGGACAGGGACGCGAGCCGCACCCACTCTAGGCACAAGGCATCACATTTTATGCACATGCAGTTTACCGGTAAAGGTAAAGTCCGTCCCTGCAAAAGGTCTCACAGCTGGGTTTTCGCCAGCACAGAGGGATGAGGCTGTGAGCTGAGCATGCCGATGGCCGATGGGCCTTGCAGAGTGGTTTCCCGAGTGCATTGGTCGTTTGGCCAGGGGAGCTGACCTTGAGGTGTGCATCTGAGATGGTCGGTGTTCACCCGGTCGGCGGAGCCGGTGTTCGCTGGTCCGCCTCGGCCCCAGAGCAGCGCGTTCTGTGCGAATTTGCTGAGTTGAGCATTCTGGAGTAATTAGAGACAATGACGACATGGCCTGGAAGGCAGCGCTGTGGGAATCGGCTCAGCAGTGGTGCTCCGAGAACAAAGAATGCAGCCCGGCCTGATCTGCGCGAAACCAGGAGCATCACAGCGTGGGTTTGTAAAAGTCTTGCTGTGGGCTGTGGGTGTCAAAAACTGAACGTCTAGACTAGACTGCTTGCAGGTGAGGAAGCCTCAACCCTCGATTCCCGCAAGAGTGGTGCAAGCGCGATGCATCGGGGTCCTTGAAAGGTACAGGCATCATGGTCTATGTTGGCTCCAACACCATGAATTGTAATTCCTGGTGTGGTCGGGGCCTTGCCATTGGACTAGATGTAAGGCTGGCATGCCGTGCCCGAGTTTACTCGTGGAGATATGTTGTCAACTCGCGGCACGGCTGTCGGTGCGTGCTGGTGGGGAGACTCGTGTGACAGCGAGAGCAGGCAGACCTCAGTTCTGCAACGGTCACATAGACGCTGCTGAATCTGCCGGTGCCAGGATCCAAGATTTAGGAAGCACTTGCCCTCTCGCTTGCTGAGCTAAGTCACAACCCGTTCACTCTTCAGCTGTCGGCATGCCAGTCTCTACCGCAGGTAGAGGAGAGCAGCGAATGGAATCTCTGGGTGCGCCCCATCCGGTCGTTCTATAGCAACGCTCATGTATTGTAGTTAGTTGAGTTGAAGCAGGACACATCCGCAGCGAAAACAAAAAAGCCTGCCTGCAGCAGGTCAAAGATGCTGCTGAGTCCGGCACTGCCGCATGACGGCCTCAAGGAGCTCCTCCTTCAGCTCGGCCCAACCGCCAGACGGAGTGGCAAAGAACTGATATCGACGGAGGGCGGCAAAGAAGCGGAAAAAAGTGGCAAGAGGGGCCTCACGGGCCAGTACAACTGTAGGGGCATGGTTGACGCACTTTACTTACCTGCATGTTTCAGCATGCCAGGCTGATTTTGGCTTCCCTTGCATGAAGAAACTCAAGACTCCCGATGTCGCCTGCAGATCTCAGCAGCACGGCCAGTTGTAGTGAGGAGATGTGCGTGCCATGACAGCAGTTATTCGGCACGCCTGGCTTGCTTCGCTGTGCGTCCACACACAAGCACATCAACACACGCGACCAAGAAAGTCTCTAAAGAAACGGTAACAAACGCCCTAAAGCCCTAAAGAATCGCAACAGAGATGCTTTCGACAAGTCCATAAAAAAGAGCCTGCTTCATGTGCTTTACTGGCCAGGCCTAGTGGGCAGACCGAGCTGAGCAACGAAGGCCGCAGGGATAGGTCGGATAGGGCCATGGGAGACCCAGGATCCAAGCTCTCTCTTTTCGCGCCTCTGGCAAGAAGAACCTCCGTGTTCTTTTCTGCTTCTGGTTTGCATTTCCGGACTACGCACAGAATGATGTGTCACGCAGGGCGGGCCCGAGCAGCGACCATCGCTGAGCTCCAGTTACGATACGACACATGCCTGCAATAACGCCTCCATGTTCGTAAGCGTTTACCAGCTCTGCCCCGTTGCGGCCCACCGGAGGAGCCCAAGCCGCAAAAAGATGCCCAGCTCACAAGAAGCTTCACGAGGCAGCTCCTGGAATTGACCTCCAGCCCAGAGACATATACTGGCTTTGGGTACACTAAGTGCATGTCTCAGCTGTTTGGCTGGAGCTCTTCCCTGCCGCAGTCCCGCCGTCCGCGTCCTTGCCCATGAGCTTCTCCTACAGTCCTCAGTTCTTCTTGCACTTTCCGAAGTACCATGCGCCACACTTGAAGCCGGGGGAGGAGCACAAGGACCCCTTGGACGAGATCAAGCCGCGCTGTTTGTCAAGCTGCGCCGACTGGTTGCAGGAGTACAATGGTTGCGTTCAGCGCATCAGCATGCGCACGGATGGCAAAGGCGACTGCAAAGGGCAGTTTGAAGAGCTGACCATGTGCCAGGACCATTGCATCGCGCATGAGATCTTTCACCATGTAAAGTGAGTGACACGAGATCTTGACCCGTTACTTTGACATCTGCCCAGTGTCTTTTATCCATCCACGGAACAAAACGATCTATAATGCTCTACGCTTGCATGAGCTGCACATGCAACTCGCGCGGACTGAAGGAAAATGTGCCTGCCAGCATCACCGTGACATCATTGACGGTTACATACAAGTGAGGTGACTTTCTCTTGCCCGCTGGCTGTGGCATCGTACGGCAGCATCATCGTGGGAGAGAGAGAGAGAGAGGGCGTGGCACACAGGTGCGTGCAGTCTTCCGTGTCCTCGTCAAAGATGCCCACACGGCCATGCCCCCAGCAAGTCCGTTCTGGCCTGCAGAAGCCATTGCCTCAGATAGAGTTACGACGTGAAGAGCTGTATTTTATTCACTAAACAGGCGTGATGCAGAGCGATTCAAGCTGAACCGCTCGCAGATCGTGATTTTTTGTCGCATGGCATGGCGCACGAGACCCTTGACGGCAGCCCCCCCAAACTATGCAGCCGATAAATTTCAGATTGTTGGTTTCCAATTTCGATCATTTCGGGTTGCGAAGTCCAACATTGGGCAGATTGCGATTCTTGCAAATAGTTTCTGAAATATAGGACTTCAATAGGATTATTGGATTTTCCACGAATCGGAAATAAATCGGGAAATAATGGGGTCCTTATTTGGCTGATTCATTGAAGTATTCTACTGTAGCTCTGGAAACGATGGGAGGATTATCAAGATGCGAGAGCAAGACGCCATTCCGCACTGTGGTTGGGACTCTGCTTGAGTCCGGTAAGTACGGCGGTCAGGTCTATTGTTGATGCACCATTACGGGCGACAGGACTTGAGGAGGGAGGGCTGTTGTACCCCTGCAGCCTCCTCCCAGAACCCCTCTGGTCCCCCCCTCACCCCCACCTTTACCCTCTCCCGACGGCTTGTTTTGGGCCTTTGTTTGACTTATTTTTTCCTGTTAAAGTCCTTTTGGAATCCGGTCCTATTGGTTCCCTACTGCCCAGACAAAAAAAACTCCTATTGTTTTCCTATTCTGGCCCGCAATAGGAAATAATAATAGGAAACTTTCAGAACCAGCCTTTCCAAAGAGAGGTTTCGCCTCGGCCTGGAGGCTCTCTGTTGCCAGGCTACTGGGAGCCGGCCTGCCACTCTCCCTCGGCCACAGCCCCACCACAGCCCTCCCGAACTCCCTCCCCCTCCTCCCCCTCCTTCTATCTTGGCAAAGCTACGCCAGCTCCCATTCATGCTGGCGAAACCCTTGGAAGCCAGAAATTTGCGGCCTGAGCCGAAAAAACAGCTCGCCCTGAGGTCCAAAACATCAAATCGAAGGACCATACAAGAAGTGCATGCAGGAAGACATGTATCATGTATCACTCAATTGCTGTGTTTTTGAGTGCGCATCTGTCTGTCTGTCTCTCTCTCTCTCTCTCTCTCTCTCTCTGTCTGCGTTCAACATCTTCCCATGCAGGTGCAGGTGTGCATGTATGCGTGCCAGTCTTGTTCGCAACATCTCGAAAACGGCAGTTTGCAGACCTTTCGCCGCGATCACAAAAGGCTTGGCTTGAATGCGCCGCCCGTTTGCATGCTTGAGAACAACAAGTCGCAACTAGTCGCCAACCTGTGTTTCTCCCCACACTCATACCATGCGATGCCAGCATTATCGCCATGTAACCCACCTTGCGGGACTCACAAGGCCGCTCTAAATCCGTTGCCCCGGGTACTGCGATTCAGGTTTTCCAGGCAAAAAGTGGAAGATGTACTGAAATTTACCATGAATTCTGGCCCCGCGGCGTGCGCGGCAGCCGCCTCTGTGCAAGCGAACAGCATGCACCGCGCCACATTTCGAGACCGCGTTATTGCACAATATAAGACTCGTGCACCAGATTTGCACAAAAAGCTGCAAATGATAGGGTGTGGGGAACCCCGGCGCACGGCGCACACTGCACGAGGACTTCAGTCAGTTCGTGTTACCACACTGTTTAGGGAAAACCCAAGACCCGTGCTCCCTTGGGCTTGCAATGCGGGAGCAAAAGATCGTTTGCTGCGAAGGCTGCGGCGCAAGCTGAACGACATCGGCGAGCAGCGAGTCTTGCTGGATGCTTATAGGCCTTTGGCCAGACAGAGGCAGTGCGTTGCGATGGACATGTGGCCGTCAAGGGAAGCAGGGTAGAACACACAGTGAAAGCAGCATGCTGTTGCTTGTCCCATCTGCACAGTCCACCGCTTGCACTCGTGGCTCCTCGGCGCGACCTTCTGAGCTTGTAAGGAAGGCCGGATTGACTCGGCTCTGCACGATGCTCACACGCGGCTTGAGCAGCCAGGCCAACCTTCACTTGCGTGTGTAACTTCGACCTGCCAACGAGTCATCTTAATTTCCCACACTCTGCTCCACTAGCGACATTCTGCGCGTTTGATGTAGCTTATTCCGTAGGCAGGCAGACTAGCAGAAAAAGCAAAAAAAAGGCCACAAACTGAGTCGGAAGCCCCTCAAATTTCACATTCAGTAAGCCGCAGACTTTGCGATGGAGGTGCTTTCCGAACTTCCCCAGCGGTCGGGAGGAGGTCGAGGCCTTAAACACATCCATGCAGCATAGAATGATTGGGGACTTGGGCAGCTGACGGATGCGATGAAAAGCCGCTGAAGTAGCTAGTGGGCAAGCAGACTGAGGTCAGCTCTTTATGACGCCATCCTTCTACCAACGCCTGCTACGTGGTCAGACAGAGCTCAAAGTCTTGCTCGAAGGCCGGTTGCGAGAATGCTATAGAATGCATTGGTGGGAACCAAGCCACATGCCTTGGCCATGTTGCGGCACATCGTTGATTGCAGGTGACGTGGCTGCGGCTCAATCGGACCTGCGCCATCTCCGACTTGAGCAGCGACATGGCAGCTTAGTGATGCGAGCACTTGCACGATGCTTTCACTAGAAGCTGAGTTGCAGATCCAAGCTGCAGATGAACGAGTTTCGGATTCAGTATGTCAAGATACATGTTTATCACGCTGCCGCGATGTGACATACAAACGCGAACTCCTTGGCTCCCTGACCGAGGCTCCTCACCATCCGAGTGTCCACGCTTGACTGGGCCACAGAGTCGCATTCACACAGTGCAGGGAGCTTAGGAAACTTTGCAGTCCGATATGCCGAGCGGCTTCCTGTTGTTTCCGGCACCTGGCCGGCAGAGGCTCATACGAATTTCCTGATGTCCCTGGACATGCATCTCTTTGAGCGGTTGGCTCGCGAGTTCCTGCGTTACTTGGCCTACGAGAACAGCGGCCACGGTCTCTGATCTGCCGAACGTGCTGAGGAACAATACCAGATGTGAAGCCAGCGACTCTGCATGCATTAGGCTGGGCGTGTAGGAGACATCTGATCATCTGACAACAAAGTTCGGACCGCCAGGTTGCTTGTTCCTGCTGTTCATGTCGTCTGTTGTGTTGAGCTCTCGTGCAAACTATCGCCGGCATTGACAGCGGCTTTTGGCTGTCTTTTCATGCTGGGTGTGGACGTTCATGCCTGCTGCGTGGCTGTGTGTGGCTGCTAGCTCTGAAAGATAGGTGACAGAATGCAGCTTGCACCTCCTTCATATCCTACGACGCACAATGGGCTGGTGAAGCAGCTGTCCTCGTCCTCTTCTCAGAGCGGAAATGTGAGAAGCCAGTCGAGACGCGATGTTGTGCGACCTCGCCTATTCACCCTGCTGGCTGCCGGTGCTGCAGCTCAGAGATGTAGCAGAACCGTGAGACGTGCACTCAAAACTGAGTATGTCCGTTTTGCCCGTGAAGATCTTCTTTCACCCGAAGATGGTCCTGAGGAGCATGAACAGTTCGAGCTGGACGATGGAGAGAAGCGACGTTTGGATGTTTTGCTGTCCGAAAAGTATGAGCAGTCCCGCAGCTACTTTGGGGCGCTAATCCGTCAGGGTGCTGTCCAGGTCAACGGCCGCGTCCGCAAAAAGTCCTTCCGAGAATATCACCCAGGTGATGTGGTGGATGTTCGGTTCCTCCTGGATGAAAGTACCCTTCCCATGAAACCAGAGCCAATGGACTTAGACATTTTGTACGAGGATGACCACATTCTCATAGTCAACAAGCCAGCTGGTCTTGTTGTGCACCCAGCCCCTGGGCATTGGAATGGGACACTGGTGAATGCAGTGCTTCACCATCTTGGGTTTCGATCCTCGCAGGACGGCTTGCCTTCAGCATCGCCTGGTCCAGCAGCCAAGTTTCGCCCGGGAATTGTGCATCGCCTGGATGTTGGAACCTCGGGTGTCATTGCGGTGGCAAAGACATCCCAGGCCTTTTCGACTCTAAGTCAGGCCTTCTCGCGCAGAGAAGTTCAAAAGACCTACCTCGTCATCTCCGTTGGAGGAAGGAAGTACTTCTTCGGCCATTCTCGTGGTGGGGGCCATTTTGTGGACATCCCTATAGGGCGCTCCAAAAAGGACCGCCGTCGCATGGCTGCAGTTGCAAAAGACTGTGGAGGACGCCCTTCTGTCAGTCTTGTGCGAGGGCTCGCGAGGGACAACCGGGATCTTATACTCCTCGAGGTAAAGCCTCGCACGGGAAGGACGCACCAAATTCGCGTCCACTTGGCCGAAGAGCATTCTCCAATCCTTGGGGATGCCTCCTATGGCTGGGAGCATCTTAACCGGCGATATGCGGGATTGGCGACACGACCTATGTTGCACGCCTTCCGCCTCGCTTTCGCACACCCTGTCACTGGAGAGCAGATGGAATTCGAAGCGCCGCTGCAGGAAGACATGCGAAAGCTTATCACTCGGATGGAACCTGAGCCTGAAGAGGCTGCCTACGTGCAATCGCTCTGGAAACCAGCCTAGGCTAGTATTCGGATCTGTGCGAATTCCGCGGGTGAAACATGTCGTTGCGTCGGCCATGAAGTAGGGCTCGCTGTACAAAGCTGGAAAAATCAGCCACAACCCTGCGCAGATTTTCACCACGGGATCGTGCCAGGCCTTCGGATTGCCTTAGTCGCCGGCGCCGAGGAGGCAATCCGAGAAGCGCTGGGCGCTTCGCGGAAGTGCACGATGTCCCGACGATGGCATGAGGTGATTTCGCAGGGCTGGGGCCAGCGATCTGTCCACGGTGCCGGGGATGCCCTGCCGGCATTGCCCCAGGCCAGGGTCCGGGCCCGTTGTGGTGGATGGGCTTGCGTGGCATTGCATGGCCAGGTCTGGGCATTGGCCCTTGGTCCGGAGTGGGCTCCGGCGCGGGTGGCTTTCTTCCATTCCAGGATGGATCCGTGTGACTTAGTCCGGTCTGGCATGCTTGGATTGTAGTGCAGTGGTAGGGGAGCACTCAGATTCAAAGCCTGATTTGATGGATAAGCTGGTGGAACACTGCCGTGAGGGAGTTGTGGCTTCAACTTTGCGATGGCGAGCTGCGCAGTGTGCAGGTGGGTAGCGGAGAAATCCTCAGCTCCCAGCATGCAGCACAGCAATGCACTGAACGGAGCGGATTGGAGAGGATGTCGTCGGCGGCCACAAAGTCGCCGTTACCACAGACCGCTCCACTGGCATGGGCAAGGCCGAGAGAGATGATTGATTCACGACATCCCACTATCCACTAGACTATGCTGTACCGGACTTGTGCAGATTTGTGCACCACTTGCAGGATCGCTTCCTCCATTGGGAAATCGCCGTGCTGGATCCTTCGTTTGAGGCCAACTTCTGCAGGTTACCGTAACTTGCTTGGGGCAGCACATGTCCGAAAGGATATCCTGGACGAGATCAAACAACAAGATCAGGCATTTGCTGAGCAGATTCTGGTCTACTCAAGAGTGAGGTCTTTGACTCTAGACCCGGGTCTGCCAGCTAGCACGCTGCACAAAAAGAATGCCAGAATGCTTTGCTGCTTGACCTCAACTGCACCCAAGGAAAAAGATCTGCTCCGAGCTGACAGCAGTGCTCAAGAAGCGGATGTCTGGCCGGGCGAAGGAATTGGGCCTGGTCGTCGAGCCGGAGGAGGTGTCCCACCTCGAGGAACGGCAGTTGCCTTTCTGACGATGGCGCTGCTCAGTGAACTCATGCTGAGAGCCTTGTCAGTTGCCTGACAGGCTCCGCAGCAGAAGGCCGCTCGACAGCTTACAGCAGTTTCGCAGGTAGCAAGCACCGGCACTTTGCAGCGATCTGCTACTTCGTGCAGGTTAGATCCAGTAGAGCCTACAGTCATTCCTGAGCACAGCTGTAGCAAAGCGGAGCTCCGGAACAGCCTGAACTTTCTGCAGTCCTGCCCGAGGTTGGCGGCTGCTTCGACCCCAAATCTCGGTTCTAAACGTATGTCTGAGTCCTACTGTACATTCTGCCGTTCACCCTTTTGTCGCTCTTGTGGTGGCCATCGTTTTAACACAGTGGCTTGTGTTTTGAGTTTGGAGGCGGGGGAAATTGGTCGCGAACTAACTTGCAGTTTTTTCGTTTTGGGTTTCATTGTTGACGAGACGCGTAATAGACGAGACGTGCTTACTACAGCAAAATTGGAGACACCAGAATGCCGACTAGTAAGACTAGTAGTTGGTAGCTTATGTCGGCTCCTGCATCATTGGAGAAGATTTTGAACGTCCCTCTCCCTTCACTCTCTTTTCATTTCCTTTGTCGCCCCAGGAGACCGCAGCTCCGGAGCCGCCAGAAAGACTGGCGGAGGTCCCTGCATCTCAAACGATCTGCTTTTCGGGGCTCCCGGATCGCAGGCTGAGCCTCCTGAGGAGTTCAGCACACCGGAGCGGGCCGACCGAAGCGCAGCTCATAAGGCCTAGGCCCTAGCCACGTCTCGAAACGTCCAGGTCTCCATACAGGCTTCAGGTCATTGCTGGATTCTAGGGCATGCTAGGGCAAAGTCGCGTAGTTCAAGGCTGGGTCGCTTGACGTCTACACCCCCGAGCCAGTCGCAAAGGCAGAAGTGTCAGAGGCCTGGGAGCGTAAATGCACAGTGTCTGACATCGGCACAGCGGGTTTCGTCTGCCAGAGGGTTCAATCGATATGACATTTACTGTGTGCATGTCTTTTCAACCCCGCCTGAAGTCCATGTGCCATAGATGACAGCGCACCACACATGATGATTTCTCTTGGTGACCTACTTGGCCAGATCTCCAGCCGGGGTTCCTCGCCGCCAAGACCCCGCAGGCCAAAGAAGATGGCCAGTTCGCAACTGTGCCTTGCAAGCTTCGAAACTCGTGCAGTCTTCATAGAAGCGTCGTGACAGTTGCATCTGGGGCTTTGAGTGAGGATCTCTATGTCCAAGGAGTCAACGGAGTCGAACGGCAAGGCTGCAGTCGTGTGCTACATTACAACATCGTGCATGGTGCAGATTCTTGACGACAGGATCAGCGAGCATGTTCGACCGAATCTCCTGTTGGTAATGCTGCCAGGATGCCGCTTTTCAACACTCAGCCGCAGCTGTTAGCAAGGGAGCATCCTGCCGTCTGCCATGGCTCGTCGGCGATTGGATGGAAGAAGCTGGATTCCCCGATGTGGAGGTGCGGTGCAGATCCTGCTTGGGGCATCTGCACATGTTATGTCGGCTGTCGCTATGAATGTCCGCAGGGCGTTTCACCGTAGGTTTGCGCATCTCGACAACGCAAGGCTTTGTGGTACTCTTCCTGCTTGCAGCCCTTTCAAGCGGCTACCCCAGTGTCTTTATCCGGTCTGCCGTGTTTCGTCTGCAGTTGATGGGACTCCCTTAGTCGAAGGGGTGTGCAAGGTGAGGTATGGCTCTGAATCCGTGCAGTGTCGAAGCAGCTTGAAGCGATTCGTGCCGATGGAGCGGCATCTTCAGGTATTACAGTCTGCCTTTCGAGGGCATTTTGGCCATCAAGCCTGGGCACCAAGTGTAGGGGATCTCACGCACCTGGATGAGGAATGGTCCGACCTTGCATCGTTGAAGGGAGCTGATGTTCTGCCGCTTATCACCGACATTGGCTTGGACCTGGGCCTCGACGGCAGCAACTCAGGCCGGGAGATGTGAAGAACGCATAGCATGTTGATGAACTCAGTGTCATCCTTGCCCGGATTTCTCATCAACTTCGGGTACTTTTTGCAGGCTTGGAGATCTCTGGCGCTTCTGGCTCCTGCAGTTTCATTGCGGATTTCGGTGCGACTGGCCAGCATCTAGGACAGCTGGCTGTGCAGGGGCAGCATGCTATGTGCAAGCCACTGCACCTTTACATCGCCTCGCTCAAGATGCGGGTGTTGTCCCACATCTCTTTGGAATGCCCGGGTCGACATGCGAAATGTAGATAGCGGAAGATTTGCGGCTTCATTTGTTGCCATCACATGAGACCTGATCCGGTGTTGAGATCCTGGACATCCCCTTGGTGGGGCACATTCGCAGCCGTGCGGGGCTCCGGCTTCTCGACTTTGGAAGTCATGAAGGTGAAATGGTGGTGGGGGGCTGCAGGCCCTCGTCTTTCTCGAGAGTCTGAGTCGGTTTTGACGAGGTACAGCCCGCTGTATCCAAGCGGGGCGCTGGAACTTGGCTTCCGGAAGGCCCTCCTTCGGTGAAGCGATGTACAACGATGTCCCTTGTGGCGCCACAGCATGACTAACACCTCTGTGAATCTGACTTGATGATCTTGATGCGTAGCCAGGAGCTGCGCACGGACACCGCACAAGGCTACCAGCTTTTTATGGGCCTTCAGTCTACAGGCGGAGCATGGCTAGCTTAGCTCACACATCGCCATGTCTATCTTGGCTGCGGCTTCGCTAGTTGAAGGTGATGACCGCCGGCTGGACATGCTGGCAGACATTGGTGCGCCACTTGCCGGAAGCGTCGATTGGTTGCCGCTAGGTCTTGTCGCGTGTGCTACATGTACAACACTGGCCGCTGGTCCTACCTTCATGCTGAACCAACCTTCACCATGCGAGCACCAGAGACGTCCTTTTTCGTGGGACCACTCGGAACCCATGTTTTGTTTTTGCCGTAGTTGTTTTTTTGGCTGTCTGTACGCAAACCCATGCAGCCAGCCAGTGAGTGAACCCCGGCCCGGGGACGATAGCAGCAACAAAAACATGCCCCCGCAACGACAGCAAAAAGAGAAACGCGTCCCGCAACGACAGCACAAAAAACACGCGCCCGAATCATTCGGGACCGCGTCTTTTGTTTTTGCCGTTGTTGCGGGGACTCGTTGTTTTTCTTTGCTGTCATTGTTGGGGGGTGTTTTTTGTTGCTGTAATCCCTTCGGCGCGCCTCTGCAACGACAGCAAAAAAGACTCTCATCGGGACCACTCGCTCAATTTTGCTGCATGCCAGCATTGTATAATGCGACCTTTCGAGCTGAGGTTGAAGCTGTTCCGGAAGGCGCGCGCCTTCTATCGTTTTTTATGGGGCTTCGGTGGCCCATATGAAGCAGGAGGAGCTGGCAGAACGGAAGCGTTTACTGAGAGTGTCCTTGAGACCATGCTTCGCAGATAGACCTAGCATCTCAACGAGCACTTGAAAGGAGCCAAAGAGTCCAAAGAGGAAGAGGCGGCAAGAGGGCCCAAGTGGAATCAGATGGGCTCCTCCCTGGGAGTCACCCAGACAGAGATGCCTCCCCACAAGCGAGGCCGGAGACAGATGGCAGATTTTACACTTGTAATCGGGCCACGGGGGGATAGTCGGAGCTGAACGAAAACATGCATGTTCCCTGAAATCGTCCCAAATTGAGCTACAACAGGACAGCTGACTATTGGCTGGCGCACTGGGCTCTTGGACGTAGGTCTTGCCACTGGGCACCATGTGGTTTTTGTCGGGTCTTTTCATGTGCCCTGGTCAAATGCGATGTGCAGCAACACGGCTGTACCTTTGCCAGCCCATTGTCCTGCAAAGCATTGCAAAGCCTTACTTGGATCTCTGCGTTCCGAAAAGCTCAGGAAGGTGGAAAGGTACAACCCGCCGCCGCGGCACGCGCCCACAGAACCACAAAATCTCGAGGCCAGCTAATCCTCACCTTCAGGAAGTGGCTTAATGTCTCAACGCATGATGAGTTTATTTCGGCACATCGGCTACGTGTCGTGCAGCCACCACATGTTGTTGTACTGCTTGCTTTTCCGATCCATGGGTTCAACAAGGGCTGCGCGACAACCTCTTGGACTCGTCGCCCTGTGCCTCGTACTCCATCGATCTGGTCACAAAACGCCTGGGTGCTGCGCAGGAGCGCGGCTTTTGTATTTGAGTCGCTGTCGGGTGCAGGTGACAGTGGCCCCAGCACATCCAGCACCATCGCAAGTCACGTTGCCTGCAGAGGTGTCCTGGACAATTCTACCGGAACATCGTGTTCTCGAGCATGCTTTGCACATTCGAAGCAAAGCAGATGATTCTGGGGGCAAGGCCCGAGAATCATGGGCCTCACGCCTCACGCATTCCATGGCGATTCCCTGGAGAGGCGACGCTGACGGCCCTCCTGGAGCAATCGCTCTGTGCTCATCGAGCACGACTCCGACTCGGCCCCTTCTGGGAGAAGGGATGAAGGGAGCAGGGAGACGTAAGGCCCGTAAGGCCTAATGTGTGGGGATCCCCCACCTGAATACTAAATGGGCCGCGTTGAGGGGTCGCGGTCCGGATTAGTACATAGTAGTAGTTAACTGTGTTCGTATGTGTTCGTAACTAATAGTACTATAGTACTAGTACCAGACAAAGTGATAGTACTACCGCAGTCAATTCCCGAGGCTCTGGGCAGGAAACAGCTGAGTAGCATGATTGGGGAACTACTTAAGGTTAATTTTTCATGTTGGATTTCTCGATGCTGAGCAGGGCAGCGTCATTCTCAGCAAAGCCTTGTTGTTATTGGGCTCCCGGATGCGGGGCCGGGCAGGAAAAGCTTGGTAGCATTATTGGGGACCACCAAAGCGTTGTTTTCCATATTGGGTTCCCCGATGCTGGGCAGGGCAGCGTGTGCCTAGAAAAATTGGGGACCACCACAGGTTCATTTATGGCTCAGGATTAGGGACCCAGGCTTGCATCGTTTATTATTGGTATCCCGGATGCTGGGCAGGGTAGGAAAAGCTTATCATTATTGGGTTGCCCCATAACTGGTAAGCAGTTTATTGGGCCGGAGAAAATTCCTGTAAAGTTGGCAGCCCTGCTTCCAAAAATTGCTCAAACAACATTGATCCCGACATCGCCTAAAAGGGACATGCAACCGCCTCGAGGACTAAAGTACCTATAGGCCGTCAGCACATTTGGAGTGCATTATGGGCTACGCCAGAGTGCCAATGCTTGGAGTTTGGGCAGGTGCAAGCTACGAGCGTGATTGATGCTGTTTGTGGCAAAGTCCGCGAGGTGCATTTAGTTTTTCGTTTCTGATGCACAAGCATATACGTGCCGGTGCTTAGATAAGAAAGTGGAATAAAGACAACCGGGCGCGCAGAGCCAGCACGCCCGATGGAGATGTTTCATGAGACTGGGACCGTCCGATTGACTGTCCCACTCAGCAATGTGTTCAAAAAGGCAGTCGTTCTCGCATCTTCGCATTTGTTGCTGCGCCGACTCATTTGAGAAGCCAGGCTTCCTTCATTGGGTATCCATCCGAACCAAAGCTCCAGGAGGAGGACTGCAGACAAGTCAAGTGGTCTTGAACGCAGAGTGTCTTGCCTTTGGCCTATAGGCCTATAGGGTCTGCCACTGCAATCCAAGAAATGCCGCCAGCTTGCCGACAAGACTTCTTGTGCAGAGAGGGCGATTAGAGCGTGGGAACGAATTCTGGACAGGATGGTTGTTTCAGCGCATTCTTGCCTGGCACCCGGCTCAACCAGATGATTGCAGACAAAACGCCTTTGCTGAGCCTCTGCAGGTCCTGTGGAAGGCGGTGACCTCGCTCGGGTGAGGGGCCAAAGAGGGGCAAGGTGTTGGCGGGATCGGTGCAGCGCGGTAGCATCGTGGCTCTCGCACAGCTTTGACTGCAATTCTGGGTATCTTCAATTCAGCCGGAGCCAGAACACCTTGTCCCCACAGACTCTTCGGATGCGTTCTTGAGCTCCGAGCCAGATTGCGGACTGTAGCAATCCCAAGCTTAGACTGCCTCAAACTGACGTTTGGGCCGGGAAGTTTCAGTAAGGAACTGGGAACAGAGCCAGGAGACTGAGCCGGGACTTCCTCATCAGCTTGGGCGGAAATATTTGCTTTCGCCGGGGTTTTTCACTCGCTGCGCCCAGCAGCTGCCACGTGTGCTGACCATGACAGACTATGACTATGATGAGGTTGGCATAGGCCGAGCGTTCGACAACCGGATCCTTGCACAAGCTTCACCACACCTTGCTGGGATCAGTCTCCGCAGCGATGGGAGAAAGGATGAAGCGAGCCTTTGACTCCATTGGTGGGCATTGGTCCTCGCCCTGCCAGAGGGGAAACTCCATGGTTGTTGCGCGCAGAAAACAAAGGAAATCAGTCCCCAACCCCTGACCAACCTGACCAAGACATACCAAGGCCAGGCGAGTATGGGGTGAGTAGCCGCAGATAGCCGTAGTAAGCAAAGTCAAGTCCAGCAGCAGGCCGTTGATCTTCCACTTGTTCACAGTGCCTGAGCACTCGTTGCTGTTTGCTACCGCAGAACCTGCAAATACAACTAGAGCAAGAAAGCCACATAGAAGTGTTGAGATGAGACGACCATGGCATCTGCTGAGGTACCGTAAGAACAGCTCTTGCTCCTGTTACGAACCATGGAGCCACAAGGATGCGCAATAATCATGCTACGGGACATGATGGGACTTTGACGACAGGTTTGGCTATCGACATGATGTTTAGCCAAACCCGTCGTGTGCGAGACCCTGCTTTTCCAAAGTCGAGGTTCTGCCATGAGACGCAGGACCCAGGGCAACTCAGTAGAACGAGAACTGGAGCCCCGACTTCTTTGGGGCCATGCTGCTCGTTATTGTGCTGCTTCCATTGGGGCATATGGGGGCAATCAATGCTGCGTGTAATATGTGATTCCTATGGCCATGTTCGATCAGGGCTTCGGTGACAAATTCGTGTTTTCGAGTTCCAGAGTCTCGCGTCCAAAATTCACAAGCTGGAGCAGCTAGCTCCGCTGGCTGACATGGGGGATGGCAGCACGGCGCTCGGGGCACCGACCCAGGTTGGACTTCGCAGTCCAGCCCTGTATTTGTGGCGCACCCTGTTGCCCATGAGTTCAGCAGCTCACACGGAGAGAAAGGAACCGCAACTTGGCGCTGCAGCAGTCTTGTCGAAGTGATGTACAACAAGAGCGAAGATGCACGGGGCTTTTGGAACCAGCGAGGGGTTTGCAACATGTTGTGTCTGAAGCGGCAGCAGCAAGGCTGCGGTAGATAGCTTCGGCTGTAGGTGCTGTTCATATTGACTACCGCATATCGCACTTCCGTGGGCACTCGGAAGGCTCCCATGATCGAAGGCTAAGAACTTCAGCTGCACTCAGCTTAGCACGGTAAGCTACAGGAGCTTGCTGCGATGTGAAGGAATGAGAGAAGGATAATCATCAAAATCCGGCATGCGTAGCTGCCAGCCCTGCAAATCAAGCCATGCTGCCACGGCCGCATGCTTGCAGGACTCGCATGACAGGTGTAATCATGTGTACGCATTGAATTTCGCTGCTCGCCGTGCGGGCAGCGGGTCCAGCAAGGGCCTCAACCAAGCAAGCATTGCTCTCGATCGCGCGAGGCCACGAGCATGTGTCCTGCTTGCTTGCTGTGGTGCTGCGTCGGGAACTCGGGTGTTTCACATCCCCAAGACCGCGCAACATTGTTGCTCGTCTGGTTTGCAGCCTTTTTAAAGTGTTTGCATCTGAGGTTCGGAGATACAGCAGCTTTGGAGAGATGCTCCTTCGAGGTTGTGCCACCATTGCCGTCGCACAGCCGTGATCAGATGCGTAGCTGACGAAGAGGTTCGGATTATGCCAGCCTGCAGGTGGTAATGGTTGATGATCGGCCTTGGAAAAGGCTGTCAGCACCACAAGCCCCATATTGGGCTTCTGGGACGCAGCCGGGATGTCCCAACTAGCTTCGGGAACAGGTGAGCGAAACATCCAATATGGATGACCAGCAAGCTCAGCAGAGAGACTGAGCCAAGCTCAGGTTTTGGGTGCGGCCTTAAATTATGCCGGAGTCTCAGGTTTCGGAACCCATGGCTTTGTAGTAGCTTGCCTTGCCTAGACTCTTGGCAGAAACTGCTGCCGTGTGCGACGGTCGGTCGTTGGAATGGCAGTATAATGATGAAGCATAGGCTTCAATGATGAGCCAGCGAGTGTAGTCTAAGCAGTCGCCCCTGTACGAACCAAAGACCAAGTCCCAATAATTGGTGTTTCCACGCGCCGTTTCAAGGCTTATGCGATGCACTTTTCTTACAGGATCCGCCTTGCCGTGCGCTCAGCCTTGTCCGCTTTCGCCCTGTTCGCTGGCTCTGCCCGCCTTGGTTGCACCGCTTCAACGATGACCTGAGCAGCCCTCACGTTGAGAGAACTCCGCATGCAGGTGCGGCCGTACCACTGGACCGATCCGTACAATATGCAAGGCCGCCCGAAGTCCCAACCAGGATTGTTGCAGCACACCAGCGCGAGAGTTTCAGCGACATGCAGGATCTTACCCTGGCTGGAACAAAGTGCTGTACTTCGCGGAGCTTCTGAGAGAAAGCCAACAGCACTGTACATGGACACCCGGTCGGCATAACAAGAGTTGCCGTTTCTGAAGCTTGCTTGGTACGAGCAATGACTACAACAGATAGGCTCGGCTCAGCCTACAGTGACAACTCTCCAAGCTGTACTTCGAGACGTTTCCAGAAACAGGTGTTGTACAGGACCACTACGCATTTGCCGAATTCAGGCTTCTCTACCTGGACTGCGATGCCTTTGTTCGGGCATTCGTGCCGTTTACATCACTGCCCCTTGGCACGAACGATGTGCACGTGGTTAGCGGTCCTAGCACCAGCCTGGCACGCCAAGATTGAGAAAACATTGTAGTCTAAGAGCCATCATGGCAGCAGGCTTTCAGATCTGGCTCGGCGCTATGGTCTGAACATGGGCAATTGTGAAGGCTGGGTCCCGCCCGCTGATGAAGGGGTTCCGATACTTCGTCCCGAGTCTTCTTCGGTTTTTGCGTCCGAGGAACCTCTGCCATCTTCGCGCGTGAGGATCCAATGCCCTTCCTGAACTTGAGCAGCGGACCGCTGCCCGACTGGATAAGGAATACTGTACTTGATGGTCAATCGGTAGACGGCAGCGAGAATGTGAGTGGCTTCTGCGTTGTGGCATATCTGGACCTCTGCAGTTGTGGCATAGACTCAGACAAGAACTAGACAAGAATTCTCAAGAGTGGAGAGTTTTGCATTTCGGTGTCCATTGGTTTCTCGGCTGTGACCAGGATGCCGACCGGCGCCGTGCCTGCAGCACCTTTCATAAACACAGGCAGCACAGCGTAATGAAAACCACCTCCGATGCATCATTGTTGCCAGCCATGACGATGTTAATGTGCAGTGGGGCTACGAGCAGCGCACAGGCTGCTGTAGATCATGCTCTGGCAGCACTGATGGAGGGTTGAGCATCGTAGAGAGCACAAGGTAGCCCTTCGCGACAGCAACTTTTAGCTTTTAGCTGCACTCTGAATGATAGGTGTTTTCTTCGTCCGCGCCGATTGCCTCAGTGCTTCGGCAAGAAGAGGAGAGTCTCGAGGTCGGTTGCTTGCTACCGTAGGGGCCATCCCTCACATGGGTTGAAGGATCAACATATGCATTCAGGATCAAAAGACTTGCGCAAGGATTAACAAAGCAAATTAGCGACATGCATTCGGGCTTTGCCGCTTCTGCGACGACGACGACGACTACTACTACAGCGACAGCTCCGGTTAAGAAAAAGTTAGTTTTCCGTGAGGGGGGCCTCAATTTCTTGATTTTGGTGCACACCTTGATTAGTAAAAAGAATTTCGAGATTTGAGGGAATCCGGGATTTCTTAACCCAAATTTCTTAAGTTGAAAGGGCTCCAATGCTAGCCGCAAAGAATCCCAAGAAATCACCTCCTGCTGCCGCCGCTGCTGCTGCTGCCGCTACGACTACCAGTAGTACGTACTTCGTACTGCTACCACGACGACGACGACGACTACTACAACTACGAC